GTGTATCCCATTGGTGAAGACAGCCTCTGCAGGGGGTTGTCCATTTGCCTGGGGGGGTGGCATGCCAGTAAAACCATTTACACTAATGGGGGAGGGGATGCTGGTCACTGTGGGGGCGCTGATGCCTGGAGGAGTGCTGCCACCTGCAGCCACGGGTCACATGGGCAAAGAGAGAGAGAAACAGAAGCATTCCACGGATTCTTTTTTCCCCCAAAGACATTATGGAGAAGTTTTACTTTGACCGGCTATCTAGTAACTCTTGGAAATGTCAGAGGGGCCGGTTCAGTGGGCCGGTGAAGACACTAAATGTCAGGGGTGATTTCTTGTCCCAGTAGAGCCTTTACTGTGACACAACAGCTATTAGATGTGAATTTCAGACATACTGTATGAGAACAGGGAACACAGTGTTGATGCTATCAAATTGGTACCAATTCTATATCTGTCTCAGATGACTGGATGTGGTGCCACAATGCATCATGTTCATTTGCACCCCTAAAACTCATCTACATTTACAGTATGGATTCTTTTTTAGGCCCATTTAAATCCACTGCTCTTTGCTCCCTGCTACTGTATTTTCAACTGCAACACACGGTTTCTTTTTATTCTTTACAGATTACTCTCTCTCTTCAGGGACTAATGCAGCTGTGCAGTATGTTGACAGAGAAACTGCACAATGTATGTTATTACTAAACCTGGATTTGTCACTTTGAGAGTCATGTTTGATTTAAATTGCAACCACTGTTCAAAAAAATGTTTGATTCGTAGCGATCTGCTCAAATTCATATTTTGTAGGTTTTTAAGTGCAATAGGTTGAACCTTGTGCTGCACTGGACTCTTATCCATTGCTTACTCTGTTGCCTTGCAAGACTGTTTTTGTTCTCTTGCTAACTTGGAATGGAGAACAGATAATCATGATACCATTAGAGAGGAAATGTGAGGAGGCATTTGAATTAACACCAAAGTTGGAAGATTGTAAACTAAGGCTGTTTTCTGATTTTATAAAATGTAGTTACTTTCCAACAGCATTAGTCTATGCAGCAGAGACCCAGTGTTTGAATGGAATAATGTAAATCCTACATTGTAGTTTAGGATTAGTGCATGTGTGCTGTGTCCCAGTTTGCATAAATTACTCCTCACTTTGAATTTGTCCAATTTTAATGTTTTTGAAAAGTCCATACCCAGGTTAAAAATCATAAGGTTCCCTCTTTGTGATTGCAGAGCTATTGGAAGCCAACTGAGAGCAAAAGCTTTTAAAAGATCACATTTGTCATAATGACTGCTTTGGGTGAAGGAAAATGCATTCTTCAAATCTATGTTATGCTTCAGGAAATCCTTGATAATGCACCGTATGTGTGCAGCAGAATATATCCTATTTTCAAGGCACACACAGAAATGGAAACACAGTGAGGTCCTGTAACCTTTAGTCCTCCACTGGTTTTACCTGACGTGGGGGTCAGCGGTGCTCCTGGGAGGCCATTGATGGTCGCCATGTGCTGCATCTGAGCAGCAGCAAAGGCTGCCATTGGACTGAGGTAGCCTCCCTGGCCTACAGACGCCATCAATGCTGCCTGCTGCTGCACCTGCACAGCAGAAGAGAGGGGATCATACAGCGGGTGTAGAATAATGAGAGGAAAGAGATTTAGAGGTTGCTGAGTTACGAAGGAAGGAAAAATTGGAAGGGTTGGGTGAACAAAAGGAAAGTGATGTACAGAATAGAGGCAGGAAACAGACACTATTAACCAGGTATTAAATCTTATGAAATGTGTTATATTTTTCCAAACCAATATTAACAAAGAGTTTTTAAACCTGGGGAGATATAAGACGCTCATAAGTGAGCGAGATTTGAGCCCTCAGTTCGATCTCTGTGGTTCATTGAATGAATTACTGGAGATGAAAAAGATGCCTTGCCTGAGCATAGGCTCCGTAGGCTCCAAACTGCAGGGCCATAGGGTTGAAGATGCCCATCTGACCAGCCATCTGCTGCATGCGGCGAATGGTGCGCTCCTTATCCGTGTCGGCGAACTTTACCACCAGACTGGATGAGGCCCCCTGCGCACACACCCACACCCGCACACGCACAACAATGCATGTTAGTGTGGACTTATAGATACAGGACATAAGCTTGCACCTGTCCATGCACACACACACACACACACAGACACACACTCATCTCCTATACATCCTGCCAAAGCACCGGCCTTCGTGCTGTAGCCGGTGCCCATTGCAATGAAATAGTTAGGATTGGTCATATATAAGGGACAAATTTCCTGGCTGGGATTAATAAAGTATAACTTTACTTTAAGAAGGTAATTAAGCGCTGTATGACTCATCTCTCTACGTGAGTCACCTCTCTCACATAAATCTACAGGCTCACACACAGCGTACTCACAGGCATTGTCTGGCTCCCGTGTAGTGCACTGATGGCTGCCTGAGCTTCAGCGTGAGAGGAGTATTTTACAAATGCACAACCTAGAGAGTGGAAAATGGATGAAAAAGACAAAAGAGAAAAAGTTTGCAAAACATTGCCAGTAACAAGACAAAAAGCAAAAAGTTTCCTGTTTTTTCCTCACCCGGGATTATCTTCCTATACAGCTTGTACAACAACAAGTAAACAAAGCCCTCTATGCTGAGCGGGTTTGTTCCAGAGTTGATCAGCACTCAGTAAGTACGCTAAACATGCCTCTCTGACACCATTAACAACTTGGGATCCTCTGATGGGGCTTAAAATGCCACAGCATTCTGGTGTCGCTTACTATTGACAAGCGCCGTTGATGAATTTGAATGATCAAGTTCCCAGTAATTATTGAGCTAAAACCCACTTAGCCGAGTAAGCTGGCTGATGAGGCCTTGTTAATGGAGCTTCACGGAGGAATCAGAATGATCAAGCCCACTGTAATCATTAGGCTTAGTTATTATCGGACCTCATTGATTGGCTGCTAAGCCCACTGATGAACTTCGTGCAGTGAACTTGTGTTGCACAAAAATTTTGAAGGGACAATTTTCTGGCCTGACATTAAGCCTGATGGTTAATAAGGAGGTTAACTTAGTTTTTTTTTTTTCCTTTTCTCCTTATCAGGCGCTTGTTGACTCATGAGGTGAACAGGGTTCATCTCTAAAGAGTAGCTGGTTCATGTCCTTCATCACTGTGGGCAAAGCTTTCTGATGACACTTGCTGTTGAAACGTACAGATCGTACAGTATACTTATGTAAGCACTGTGTGAAAATAGCCTCTTTTGGCCTCGCTCGACATAGAAAACTTTGCAAAGTCACCATCTTTAAAAGGCCAAATCATTCCTGCGCGGCAGCTTGTGAAAACGTCTGCGGGCTCAAAGTCATAAACAGCGAGAAACTCACCTTTGCTGTTTCCGTCGGGACCTCTGAGGATGGTGCATTCCTCGATGCTGCCGAAGGCCTCGAAGAGGCGCCGCACGTCGTCTTCTGACTGTTGCTTGTTGAGCATGCCCACAAACAGCTTTCTGTCTTCTAAAAGGAAGAGGAATAGGTCACGATCAGAGGAGCAGCAGCGCCTTTTGATATTCTACATGACGACATTCACTAAAACAGAGGTGTGTTCTTCTGTAGTTACATGTAAAAACCTTCAGGGAGAATATTTGTGATTCTATATCGTGCAGTAATTTCCCTTGTGGAAATGAAAGATGACATGTTCACCTGTTCGTTCATGCTACTAACATCTTTGCACTTCATTATAGCGGCACTTTAATGTTATTTCCTGAAAAACCACAGCTTCTGTAGCTGCTACATGCTTCACTGTTTTCAGCAGCTAGTCAATAACTTTCTCCACCTGCTGTTTGTTGCCGGATGTGTAGAGTGCAATAGGTTTGTCAGAAAAGACGGCACCTAAACAGAAAAGCTTCAGACTGTAAAACCGAAACAAACGCTTGAAAGACAAACACTTAGTAGAGCTGCTGCAGAGTTGGGTGATATTTCTGCGTTTGCCAGTCTAAGTGACCCTTTTTCACATTACACATAATAATTCCAGCAAAAAAACAAATGAGTGCAGCTTCAAGGTTTTAGTATTTTTACCTCCGCCAAGGAGGTTGTATTTTCTTTGGTGTTTGTCTGCTGTCAGATAGCAGCATTACACAAGCACTACATGGATTTCCACGAAACCTGCTTGAAGGATATGGATCACGGAGGAACTCACTCAATTTTAATGCGCATCCAGGACATTTATTTCACTTTCTCTAAAATTGCAAAATCTCACTCATTTCCCAGGGAAAAAATTCATGGTACTGGATCAAAATAATCAGGCATATTTAGGACACTGATATGGATGCGTGTGTACACTTTGATTTAATTTAAGGGAACTGTTGAGCCTTGGCAAAGGTCTGAGGTCTTCTGAGTGCTATTCTAGTTAACAAAGGTTTTATGTTTATAGGCTATCAGCTCCATTTGAAAAACAGAAATCAATTGTACGATAAGAACATCAACAGATACAGGTCTTGATTTTACATTTAGCCCAAACGTGGGATTTGAAATGTGTTACCTTCAGCATCAAATATTAATGGCTCTAATGGCTCATGCCATATTCAGTGGTACTTGCTTGAACATCTGTGGCAAAGTACAACTTTGGATGGAGTTACTTGTGTATTAATATTACTGTAGGAGCTATTTCATTAGTTTGATATATTGTGATTCTTATTATTTGTTATATCTGCATTTATATTCTTAGACACTAGGTGGCACTAAGCACTAGACCAGGCAGGATTCACAATAAAGGTAGCAGGTGTGTTAATGAGGGGAAGCACCAGGAAGAGAAATGGCTTCTTATGAGGAGAAGCACGTGTTTATCTTGGTATTTCAATGGGAAAATAAATCTACCACATCGTGAATTCATCATGGACAATAGTCTTCTTTAATTGCCTGAGTACAACCCAGCTACACTGGTGCCTCAGTGGCTTTTTGTTAAGTTTATTCAGAAAGAAACATCCTTTGGACAAACAGCCACTACACAAAGTAAAACAAATCCCACCCTTGGAAAAAAGAAAACTGGAAACAGGAACATCTGTTGGATTCTGTGGATTTCCTGTGGATGTGCATTCTTCAGCGCACATTATTAAAGATAAGCTTTCACCGTCGCGACAAACACTGGACCAGGAGAGCCACGCAATACAAAGTACAGCCGTGCCAAAGCAGGAGCGCACCGTGCCAAACGGAAACGCCGCGCACTGAGCGCGCAGCGACATGGTATGTGCATCGGATACACAGTGACACTGTAACGGTGCTTTGGGAAACGGCACAGTGATGGGAGTTGACGTTCACGTTGCATTGCTCAGCTTTGTGCTGTGATGGCGGTAATTGTGTCGGCTCTGTTGCTCAGATTTGCGCTGATGGTCTGAGTTGCTGCTGCGGTGTTTGTTGGTGGGCCACTATATATTTACGAAGGAGTCTTTGCATTCCGGGTTTGTGATTTAATGTTAAAAACGCACCCCCCTGTTTTTCTGTGTTTCAATTAGAAATGGAATCAGTGTCTGATTAAGGCAACAAAATGATCTTTAGTTCAGTTTCTATCCTCGGGGAGGTCAGTTGGCACTTTGCCCTCAGCAGGCGCTCTTGTCACAGATGCTCATGATGAAGCCTGGCAAAGTTTGCCTAATGGCAATGACACAATGTCCACTCACATCATATTCATTCATGAACCAGGAAACTTATGTTCACAACCAAGAGCCTTAACCCCTGGTGAGAAAAAATATTATTAAAAGCTGATATTTCTCTGACAATCACAGAGCTACCAACAAGTTCTGGCCTAAAGCTGCAGAGCTCCACGTTTTAGATAACACACTTCTACAATGAGTGAATGTTCTGGTTGTTCATTTCATTTTTAATTTAAGGCAGCCTCAATTTAACAATTCTTTTCGCTTTTGTAAAAAATAATAGGCTTTGCATTTACTTCTTTTTTGTGGACAATGGTGTGATCTGGGGAACGATATTATGGTCTTAATAAGAGAGAAAAAAAACCTGAGGGTTTTTGGAAATGTCATACATGAGAAGAACAATGATACCATGCATTGTACTAAAGGTAAATCTCTTATAGTCTGAAATATTTTCTTGCTTTATTTTATTGTAATTAATGTTTACTAAGTTGTGAATGTTTTTTCAGAAAATCAAAATCGGCTTTATTGGTCAAGTATGTCTTAACATACAAGGAATTTGACTTTCAGTTTACTTATATAGACACAGACATGAAGCTATGGATGTGGACAACAAAGGAAAAAGGCAATAACAGAACAATATGGTGCAGGGTCTCATGCACAACATCCTTGTATCTCTTTCAGAATTGACATGATGTGATATTAACTACTGACATGAATGACAATCCATTGGTTGGACTTGTCACACTAATGGGACACCACCTATAGTTAAAGAATTGTGCCCATCACAGGTATTAGATAAGACAGATGTGGTGGTCTGCCTGTCCTCAGGTCCACATTTAATTAAAATTTAATTGAACTGTGAGTTAAGTTGCATAGTTTATCCGAGAGGCTTCATTTAAACGGAGCGTCACAGTCGTCGTTGTGATTATTGTTAAATGTGCATCACATTAAGGATGCTGGTGCCTGTTACACAATAATGTGACAGCAAGTTTAACTGAGAAACAGATAAATAGGCAACAATAAATATATTGAAAGTGGAAGAATAGTAGTAAGTCAGAGGTTATTCCATCAGACAACATGGTCACACCACATTTAGAATAAAATGCCCACTTTTCTGTGCATCAGTTAAAACATGTATTTACATATGTTCATGGTTCATATGATCAAGTCACACATCACCAGTTTAATACACATAGCATAGCAACCATCCACTCGCACTTAGCAATTGCAGCTTTCTTCGATCTTAAAAAGGAGATTTCAGAACATTTCATGAAGTCACAACGGAAGCAACTCATAACCTCGACCACATTTATTTTCCCCATTTTTTTCTTTACAATTAAACTTTTTATGCTGTCAAAAATAATTTCTGAATGATATAATCAGAGACACGTTTTAAATGCATGGGCTTAAATGAAATACGAGCAGACGGAGGTCGAGCATTAGTTCATTAGTGTGAGCACATGACGGCGTGATTGAGTCACTGAATAAGTGTTTGAGGGAGATCGTGAGGCAGATGGTGAAAGTGTGTTAGTGCACAACAGCAGCAGATGTGTCAGTGTGCAGGACCGTCTGTTTTTACGTTACACAGATTCTTAGCTGTGTGGAAATGGATGTATATGTTCGGAAATTAATGAGCCTCAGTGCAATTGCCTTCGAATGCGTTCTGTGACTTAACATGTGTATAGGTGTGGGTAAATATGTGTGTGCATGCATGCGTGCCCAGGGTCCGTTCCTCCCTGCTTGTGCCTGACAGGGTGTCCTTGCCGAGTCAACAAGACTAATCTGCGCTCTGGCCTTGCATTGGGGATGGTGGTGTGTGTGTGTGTGTGTGTGTGTGTGTGTGTGTGTGTGTGTGTGTGTGTGTGTGGGGGGGGTGTTTACGAGAGTGGAGCACGCATCATGAGTGGTGTGGAGGATGCACACACACGCACACACAAATCTTTGTCTGTTTGCTCCCCCCTCATCTTCTCACACACATACACATTCACCTCATTGGTGGCCAAAGTCTACAGTTCCCCAGGGAAGACACCAATAAACATTACATCTTTCTCAGGAAAGGACTGTTAACACACTCGTGCACACACGCACGCACACACACACGTACACACACACACTCAGCTGGAGAGCAAATCAATATACGCCAGAGTCTTGACAACGATGTAAACCTCTCTCTCTCTCTGAGACAGCATCTGACAATGACTCTCCCTGATTTCCCTCCACTGTAATATTTAGAGGCAGTTGTATTACCAAGAATCATAAATGTATTTGTGTCTGATTACATTTTTTTAACACAGTAGTAAACAGTAGTTATTTTTATCATAACATTATCATTTGCATCATTCACATTTCAGAGAGGAATATTGTACTTTTTATTCCAATGCACTTCTCCAGTAATTATTTGTTAATGTCCAGATGAATGTTTTTGATCCAAAAAATTGAACTAAATACTTTTTGGGTTAAGATTCCAAAAAAGATTTTCAAAACTACTGTCTCTCAATCTCTTTGGTTTGGTGTCTATTACAAAAGAGCAGTGTCTAGTTGGGGCCCAAGAAGGATTTTCCAAATAAAACTCAAACATTAAAATAGCTGCTCAAGGTCCATAAATGTCAAATTATAAATTATTTCCCCCAAAATAACATTCTTTCTTTTCTTCATTTATCATCTTTCTGACCACTAACTGACCCACAGCGAGCCCATTCCTTAATTTAAGAGCCACTGGGCCAAATACCTTCATATGTCATATTTCAATAAAGAACCAACTCCAGCTGTGATAGTAAAATGCTATTTACACTAATGTGTCAGTATTAATGCCCTAATAATATAATATAGTCTAATGTCAAATTAGTCGCAGGAAAGAACTTGTATTTTGAGTAAACTTTATGAATAATATATATATATTTTTTTCTACGTCCACCATTTAGAAATGCACAACTCTGGCACTATCTTTGGATGGAGGGATTGAGAACAGCAAAGAAAAAGACCCTATGTAGAATAGAGGAGTAGTTTAGAAGTGCGCTGAGGTTATACATGCAGAGAAAGATAGACACGAATAACCGACAGAGGTATGGACGTCCTGCATTGCCCTCACTTTGCTTCCTCAGACTCGGTGCTCGCCTCTGTTCCATCCCACTCCATCAATCATACTCACAGCTCCACCAAACTAAATAGAAGAGGATGTTGCACAATCTCCCCTCCATTCCTTAAAAGTTTTTTTTTCTTTTACAGGCTAACACCTCTCTTTCAGTCCCTGTGCTTCTCCCCGCTTATCAACCTACAGGTCCTTCCAACTCCATCTTTTTTTTCCTACCCCCTCTCTTTGCTTTCCTTCTTTCTTGTGGTTGAAGAATCACTCTGGTGCCAATTATATTAACAACTGCAAAGTTTGAAAGTCTCCAGCCAAAAACGGTTAAACTACATCAATCTTCTCTTGTACAGTCCATTGATTGGTGTCAGCAGCGGGTCACTATATGTCTAGACATTGAAAATCAGCTTTAAGCTGTCTTAGCTGTCAATACAGCACGACACACACACACACACACACACACACACACACACACACACACACACACACACACACACACACACACATATACCACACCAGACAGGCTGCCACACTGTCATTCACCCACATCTGTCATTTGAATTCATTTGGTCGATACAAACTTGTGACATTAATCATTATTGATGGTGTTTGACGGAAAGAAGTGACTTGTTTCCCCTCCCCCTCGCATGACAAGACACACTTGTGTAGGTTTCTGTGTGTAAGTTGCATGTATGTGCATCAGTGCATATGATGAAACTGCTAGAAATGAGGCCATACCAGCTAAGAGCATACAGCAAAATAACATGTGGATACTGGAGCTTCCAGCCATGCTGCCAGAATGTGTTGAAGCAGGGCACCGTGTGATGGGACAGATGATAGAGAGGCTGACATGTACAGGCAGTGTGTTTGTAGAGCTTCAACAAAAGGAGGAAAATAGAAGAGAAAAAGGGGAAAAGAAGGAAGGGCATACAGTACCTCCTCGGCTCTCACTGTCTGCTGGCTTCACCTGGATCGGTCTGTTCATCTGTGACAGAGACAGAGAGAGGTCAAATAATAGAAAAAGAAGGAAACAAGAGACAAAGAAGCCAGTTACCATCAAGTACTCAAATAATATCACATGCTTTTACCCTCCTCCCCCCTCTAAAATCACTTTTTTGGTTTCACTCAGCCAAATTGCGGGTAAAGTGTATTGAAAATCTCCAAAGCTGTAGCACTTATAGCCATTGGGGGGATAGCTGGTTGGGAATATGGGTTGGAAATATTATTTGATCTGAGATGAAAGGAGAGAGAGAAGGGTTGGAAAGGGGGGATAAGCAGAGGGATGAAGGGAATGACGGATAGAGGGATGGTGTAGGTAACTCTGGGTCAGCGGTGCTACTGTGACTGTGTATCATCTTGGTGGCTGCTTCTGGATGCAAAACATGATTCATGTGGTTTATGTGCATGAGATAGTATATTGTTGTGGATCTACGCACACATGTAGACACACACAAACACTTGCACCCACATATATGCAGAAAAGTCAACACACAAACAAAGTGTCAAACTCC